GGGGCAACACTGAGGGTTGCGATCCGTTGCCGGACACGGAAAAAGACAAAAGACCAAAAAAAAAAAAAAAATTATTACCTCATTTGATCCTAGCAATCCTATGAGGTAGATATTATGATACCCATTTTGTGGATTAAGAAATGAGGCATATACAGGTTAAGAACCAGGGTCTCACATAGCTGATACATGAAGGAGCCAGAGTTATAACACAGGCTAAATCTCCTAATCACTACACAATGTGGCCATATCGAGTGTCTACAATCTGTCATTCTGTGCTAAATGTCAATGATTCAATATCCATTACCCGCAGCAAAACTGACAGATTTCAAAAGTATTATCTCAGAAATCACTTATACTTACAAGGAATATCCCTGTATCCAATCTCCAAAGCATGAAAATAATTCATAAATTCCCTAACTGGAATTTTAAAAGCTTCAAAGAGACCCATGTCTTCAAAAAGTCTGTATGATACCTGTAAAAGAGAAAGACACAGCCATACAAAACATCCTTTAGTGTGTGTTAGACATGAAGAGAACAAGGGATAAAAAGACCTGCATTCCACCAACCATATTAATTTATTACCAGTAGAGACACTTAATAGGAATAATAAATCAAGAAAATATTGAAAACTTCTATGTGCCAAGCTCTTGCAGTTCCTTACCACAAGGGTTATATATTTTTAAAGATAAAGCCTAAGCATACGCCCAAGAAATAACCAAAGAAGATACAGTACACACTATAACAATATACCAAGGTGGTAAGTTGTGTATCACATCAATAACTAGGGATGTTACATACTAAACTGCTAAGTGAGTAGTACACACTATAAGCACTAAATACAGAATCAGACAAAGCTTTAATTTGGACTTATTTACAAAACAACAACAAAAAACCCCGCAAAACCCAACAACAACAACAAAACACTTTCCATAGGATAAAGAGTTATGCCTTAGTGAAGGATAAAGGGAAAAGAATTATGGGAGAGAGGAAAAGAGTTGCTTTGACTAAAATATATAGACAGAAAAGATTTATTTTAATCAAGTATAACTAACAATGTCAAACTATTTTCTCCTACTCTTCTTTCTTCCTCCTCCAAATATCTGCTTTCCTCCCAATTACTTCCATAGCTCTGATGACTTAAACCAACTAAATACCTTTGGATATAATTGGCATATTTGACATGCAAATGTTGAGAAGAGAAAAAATAATAAAGGAATAGAAGAAGGTAATGGGAAGGGAAATGATTATTCATGTGACAGAATGGAGAATGGCACCAATTCTAATGGGCTTACTTCATGTCACAAGGGCACATTGTTGGTTATAATTCAGTAGACTTTAAGAAATAATTATTCATCCTTTTTTATGGCCTGCATTCCTTCTTAACACATTCTCTTGGAATATTTCTGCTAAATTTTCAATATATTGCTTAATAGTCAATATCTTTTATTATTGAATTTAAATCTATTCACATTCGTTAATATTCTTTTAATTACTACATATATTTATTCAATGACTATCAGTCACATGCATTATATGTGTGCATATATATACACACACATACGTATATGTGTGTATATGCATAAAGAAATTCATTCAGCATGTCTATCAACTGCCTACTATGTTGCTAGACAATTTTTTATGCAATTTTCTATGAACAAAACCAAGATCTCTTCCTTCATGGAGCTTATGGTCTATCAGTGGAGGGAGGAAACAACAGACATAATAAGTAAGTTACATATTATGTCAGCAAGTGATAAGTCAGGTGGGGAAATGAAAGAGTAGAGCAGGATGGAAGACATGAATACAGGGAAGGCATGGCAATTGCCACACTAAACATGGTGGTTCGAGTAGGCATAGTTAAGAGGTGACATTTGAGCAAAGAATTCAAAGAGGTGTGGAGTGAGCCACATGGACAGCTGGGAAAAGAGTTTTCCACATAGAGGAATGAGGCAGTGCAAATGCCCTGAAGTATGCTTGCTGTGCTCAAGAT